TTTTTTTTAAGGAGATTTCAGTTGTTTTTAAAATCATCTGTCCAGCGAGAAAGAATTGCATTAAAAACATCCGCTATAAACCACCCTGATCAGATTATCTTAGAAGCAGGGAGGTAGGTTTTATATTTGATCCCGGATCAATGTCAGTAACAGGAGAACTAAAATAATAATGTTTCTTTTGCGAAGGTGAGGTTGGAGAAAGTAAACGCGATAAAAATTGTAACGTGTTGCTAGGCTGTAATGCCCCACGCTTAGCTCTTACTGGTGTGAGGCTGGTGAAGCTTTCTGTAGTGTTTAGCCACAGATCCTGAATTAAAAACACACCCAAATGATGGCCTGTAGCTTCTGCAACCTGACAGCAAACCTGCAGTTTAAGATTATTCCCCCCCCCCCAAGACTGGGGAACATCGGCAGTCTTGTTTTGATAACCCTTGGCGTTCACCTGCCCCGCTCGGATCAGCGGCTGGGGCGTAGCTGGCAGGCAAACCCTCCTTCCCACCAACAGACAGGGCTTTTCCAGGTCTGCCCAAGAGCCCTTCCAGAGTCCTGGATGTCTCCGAAGCCTCTCCGGAGCACCGCTGGGCATTCTCCGGAGCCTCTCTGCAGAGATAGGCCTGGAAGAAAATCAGACGCGTGCATCTGTCCGCACAGACGGCTCAAAAAGCAGAGGGGGGTGTGCGTGTGTGCGAGATGAAACGCAAACGGGATTTCAAAAATTCAATTTGAAAATCATTTCGCTCTGGCTCCACGTCAGCACTGGCCCCGACGGACACCGCCGCGGCTGGAAAAATAAAGCCACCGAGGGCAAACGCCGCTGTCGGTAAAATAGGAAAAGCGGGGTTTTAGGGAAAAGCGGAGACCGGCCGGGCCGGGCTCCCTCCGTGCTCGGCCCCCACGGGGGGGTCGAGGGCTCCTCCGGGAAGGGGACGGATCCTCCCGCCGGCCCTCGAACCGGGCGCCGGTGGGGCCGGCCCGGAGGAGACAGAGGGGAGCTGCCGGCCCTCCCGGGAGACCCCCCCGGCCCGGCCCGGCCCCCTGGAAGCCGCCGCTGTCCCCGCGGGGTGGGCGAAGGCAGCGGAGGGCAGAGCTCTCCCCTCAGACCGGCTCCCCCCACGAAGAACGCCCGCCCGGCCGCCTCGGCCTCGCCGCGGGGGACGGAGGACGAGGAGGAGGAGGAGGGAGGAGGAGGAGGAGGGAGGAGGAAGGCCCCAGCCCTCAGCCGAAGCCCGGGGAACGCCGCACCGAAGGCGCCTCGACCGCCAAGCAAAGGCGGCGGCTGCGCCGGGGCCGGGGCCCGCTCGCCGGCCGCAGGGAAGGCGCGC